GGGGGGGGGGAGGGGTAATCGATAATTTGTGGAACTACACAGTTCTAGGTCTACTAACAGTAAAAAATTATTTAAGAGAAATTATGTCTTAATTGTGGATTACTATATTTATATGCAAGCAGAATTTACCTATCATGCAGTACTGTACACATTACCAGCTGACAGCTTAATAGCATTTTAGATGGAATTTGAAATAACATGAATATTCTCTGATTTAATAGTACATTATCAAGGTGTTACAGTACTTACAGCAAAATCATTATAATCCATACAAGACATGAGTGAAGTATTCTTGTCATTGGTCATTTTTGATCCAGCCACCATGCCAAGAGAATCGTTCAACTTCTTACTGACGTTAAGCACCGAAGATTCACCAAGTACTTGTCTTTTTGCTTTTAGTCTGGCAGAAACTCTTTTTGGAGTCTAGAAAGTTTTAGGAAAAAAGATTCCACAATTGAGCAATGGAATTAAAACTGTGATGCAGAAAACACCCAGGCTTCTTTGAAAAGCAGGTCAATTATTGTTAGGCTGAGATTATCAGCTGTCAGGGTTTCATTGAAACCTTAGCCTAGTCATTTTAATGGTTCATGTTCCAAAATCCATAAGTAAGCTCACTTACAGTGAAGACACTCGAACCATTAACACTTGACTTTATTCAGATTTTTATTTCCTGAGCTTTTTACTGCTTCAAACCCTCTAAAAAAGTAGGATTGAACTCAAATATGCTATGGGATCCAAAGCCAACTTATGTCTAAATGATTCACTCAAGGGATTCATGTTAAAAAAAGTAGTAAAAAAGCACAAAGTTTTCATGGTTAAAGTGTCCTCGTAAAACAACAACAAGAAAAGATGAATTGTGCTCGGTGAAATGTCCAGAAAACTAAATGGTCATTCATTTTGGTATCCGGTCATGTCCCCCCTTGCCATGACGCCCCCAGCCACGTATACCATGACGCCCCCAGTCTGTACTACCCGGAGTAGTTAGTCGATGAAAATCGATCATCGATTTGCTAATCGATAAATCAATATTAATCGTTAGCATATACCAACTTGTGTACTTGTGTACTAAGAACGCGTGTGCTTATTGGTTAATTGTAGGTGAATATTCACCTCTGAATCTTGGAATATTAATAGAGTGCAGTCTGTAAATCATGAGATAGCGGTGTTGGGGTCGAAATCTCCGAAGTAGCCTTAAATGCTTCGGGCTGCCATACGACGGTTCAGCACTAGATGTCTGGAAGTATGGTTCTTCAATAGCGCAGCACAACCGCGACGTCATAAAAACGAAGACAAAGGCGAAATTCGGACAAACAAACTTACAAGTTTACTTTCAGCAGATAATTTTCACAGCCGATCGCAGTTGATCTTAGTTTACATGGGTTATTATTGTAACTTTAAGTAAAAATAATAAAATCGGTTCGTATAATCCTTGTAGCGGTTAAACAGAATGCAATGCTTGTCCGAATCTTTAAGCTATTTTAGAATCAGTGCGCTGCGCTATTGATAACTAATCACGATTCCATATAGATTATCTAAATTCGGTGCAAAGTTTTCAGTAGAGCTCTACATGTAGCACTGAACTTACTAATTTGTGCAAATTTGTGCTCTTTCTTACAAAGCTTTTCAGTTTGCTCCAAAAGTATTTTAATGCGCAACTTCTACAGCAGCCTCTCCTAGACAGACGTCGTTAGTAATCATGAGCAAAACACTTACTATCGACATGAAATTGAAATAAAAAACAACTACGATTTATTTGATTTTATAACAAATTTATTTCTCTAAACCTGCTCTAACTTTGTAAATAATTGAATTTACAAAACACATTTGTGACAAATAGATATAGCTAGTTATATACAATACTGTTTACCTAATATACTGAACTTAACTTACAAATAATTTAGCTTGTAGAAATATATGAAGAAGTCAAGAAATAACATATTTTTGCGGATTTTCTTTAAGAAAATCAAAATATATACAAAACTAGCATTAATTTTTGTCTACAAAATGTGAAATATTTTAACACACCGTTTTGGACTCAAAAAGAGCCGGATTAATATTTGTGTACTAACGTCTAACATTTATAGTAAAGTCTTTTAATCTACTTCCTCGACAGTCGGTCCTCCCGCGCTGTTGTTGGTGCTTTGTTGTCCTTTGCTATGTAGTTTCGCCATGATGGGAGAACAGATTCTCTGGAGTTCTTTTTCTTTGTGTTCGAATTCTTCTTTCTCTGCCAGAGAATTGCTATCGAGCCAACTGATCACCTCTTGGACTTTACGTTGAACATTTTCACGGTCCTCAGAGGACAACTTGCTGGACACAGCCGGGTCCTCTACTGATTGTTTCACTTGATAGACGTAATTCTCCAAGCTGTTTCTTGCCTGTACTCTTTCTCTCTGAGCATCGTCTTCACTTTTGTATTTCTCAGCTTCATGGACCATTCTTTCGATCTCTTCATTTGACAAACGTCCTTTGTCGTTCTTGATGGTGATGGAGTTCGATTTACCTGTGCTCTTGTCTTTAGCAGACACGTTCAGGATGCCGTTAGCATCGATGTCGAAGGTGACTTCAATCTGCGGCACGCCCCGAGGAGCAGGAGGAATTCCATCCAGTTGGAATCTTCCAAGAAGATTATTGTGTTTGGTCATGGCTCTTTCTCCTTCGTACACTAGGATGGCCACTCCTGGTTGGTTGTCTGAGTACGTTGTGAACGTTTGGGATGTCTTGGTTGGGATGCGTGTGTTTCTCTCGATTAACTTGGTCATCACTTCTCCAGCTGTTTCGATTCCAAGAGAAAGAGGAGTGACGTCAACCAGTAGTACATCCTTCACTTCAGAGCTCTGATCACCTGACAGGATAGCTGCTTGTATGGCTGCACCGTATGCTACCGCCTCGTCTGGGTTGATGGATTTGTTCAGACTTTTACCGTTGAAGAATTCTTGCAATAACTTCTGGATCTTGGGAATACGTGTGGACCCTCCAACAAGCACCACCTCGTCAATGTCTTTCTTTCCAAGCTTGGCATCGCGGAGAGCTTTTTCTACTGGTTCAAGACACGAGCGGAAAAGGTCTGAACAGAGCTCTTCGAATCTTGCGCGGCTGATTCTCGAGTAGAAGTCTATTCCTTCGTAGAGTGAATCAATCTCGATGTTGGCCTCGCTGCTTGACGACAGAGTTCTCTTGGCTCGTTCACATGCTGTTCTTAATCTTCGCATCGATCTTTGGTTGCACTTGATGTCTTTTTTGTACTTTCTCTGAAACTCTTTCACAAAGTGTTCAACCATTCTGTTGTCAAAGTCCTCGCCTCCAAGATGCGTGTTGCCGGCTGTCGACTTGACTTCGAACAGCGATCCTTCATCGATGCACAGAATAGACACATCAAAAGTCCCTCCACCAAGATCAAAAATCAGCACATTTTGTTCTCCTTTGAGTTTCTTGTCCAGTCCATAAGCCAAAGCAGCAGCTGTCGGTTCGTTGACAATTCTCATCACGTTCAATCCAGCAATGATTCCTGCGTCTTTCGTGGCTTGTCGTTGTGAGTCGTTGAAGTAAGCTGGTACCGTCACTACTGCATCTGTAACTTTACTTCCAAGGTACGCCTCGGCAGTTTCTTTCATCTTGGTCAGCACCATAGAGCTGATCTCTTCTAGTGTAAACACCTTGGTTTCGCCTTTGAATTCAACACGAATCTTTGGTTTTCCTTGGTTGATGACTTCGAAAGGCCAGTGCTTCATGTCGGCTTGAACACTAGCGTCGTCAAACTTACGACCGATCAGCCTCTTGGCATCAAAGATGGTGTTTTTAGCGTTCAAAGCCACTTGGTTCTTGGCAGCATCACCAATAAGTCGTTCAGTGTCTGTGAAGGCAACGTAACTTGGAGTCGTCCTGTTGCCTTGGTCGTTAGCGATGATTTCCACTTTACCATTTTGGAAAACTCCAACACACGAGTACGTGGTGCCAAGATCGATTCCAATCGCTGGCGTTTTAGGCATCTTCTTTTTCTTCTTTGTAGCTTTCTTTTTTCTCTTGTAGCTTTCTTTTTTCTCTTGTAGCTTTATCTTGTTTTTCGTTTCTCAGTAGGTTACTGCTGGTTCGCTCGCACCCGTATTTATACCCCGAGCTACGAGGTCCACAACATTCGCTCTCAAAATAAACCATTATGTAATGCTCGTTTCGAACGTGCTAGTATTTAATCAAACGCGAATATTCTAGAGGAATCCCCATACATGGAAGATTCGAGAAGTTTCTAGAGTCTCCACTTCCGGCCGCCATATTGAAAACAAAAGTACCCAGGTCTCCTCGAATAGCTTTATCGAAAATCAAAAAAAGCGCATTTTATAGACATTTTTTAATAAAATAAATAAATAAATAGCTTAACGGGATTTAAGAAAGAAAAAATTATTTTTGATGTATGATAAAACTCCAAAAGGGTATATTTTAGTGATTTTTCAATTTTTCCCCATCATGGGATCCCTGTTTAACTCAGACCATAATCACAAAAACAATATGGAAGAATCTTCTAGAAGGCACTTGAAGATTCCAGAAAATAATTGGATTATTAGGTAACTAGCTAATTTTGGATATAGAACATTGGGCCCTTGTGACAGGGCTATATTGACATTATTAGGAATATTCCAGTGGTTTCTGAATATTGTTCTGGATATTGGAATTTGAACGCTGTATTTCCATATATTTTGTACTTTATACTGTGCTTTCTAGAAGTTTTGTATAGTCGTTTACTACCATGACGCCCCTAGTGTAAACCATGACGCTCCTAGTCTCTATTAACACTCATTTAATAAGAAGTTTAACGATAATAATATGGCGCTACGAACCCGTGTAAATCGAACACTATTGGAGTTGTTTCACGATCATTACGGTTTTAAATAACTCGTTCCTACGCTTCGCGTATCCACGAGTTAAAAACGATATCTTTAAGCTGGCGAACACTACATCTCTGTAGTTAAGCGATTTACTTCTTGAATTTTGTCATTAATAATTTGTCGTTCTTGGATTTATACTATGAAATATTGTTAAACTATTTATTAAATAAGTGTTAATACAGACTAGGGGCGTCATGGTTTATGCTGGGGGCGTCATGGTAGTACAGACTGGGGGTGTTGTAGTATACGTGCGGGCGTCATGGCAAGGGGGCGACATGACCGGATACCTTAATTTTTATCATAAAATAACTGTTACAAATCTCGCGTTCTGATTGGTTGGGAGCGTGTGCTTTATGAGAGCATACAGCATGGGCGCGCACTTTCAGTTGCGTCATTCCTATCCAAAATAACGGTTATTGTAATTTGTATTTTATAAAAGGAATAAAAACCTTGCTAGCTGTACTGTGTGGAGTTATAAAGCACTTGGGGATTGGCACAACACTCGAAAAGTGTCGAGAAGCTCTCCGCTATGGTCGGGCTTCTCCTAACACTTCTCTCGTGTTCTACCAACCCCCGCATGCTTTATGAATGCACACAGCACGCATTTTCTGTTTTTTCACCAGAAATTTTTGAAATGACCAGCATTTATAACACCATGACACAAATATTATAACACATTAGACAAAAAAATCGACATTTCAGCCATACAGTTTTGTGCAAATTAGTGAATACTTACCACTTTAGCCTTAGTAACAAGTCTGCTGACTTTGCCTTGTTTCTTTGTACTGCTTCCTATGGGAGGACGGCCTGATGATTTGGTTTTACAAGGTGATTGACACATGCTTGCTAATGTCACTCTGGATGGTGTGGATGTAGTGTCCATCTTTGGTAATAAAAAAAATGCAGCATGTAAAAACATTAGTCTTAACGAATGACATCAAGTAATAGGCCGTTTGCATCAAACCTTCATGTGCTGATATATCACTTTGACAACAAATCAATAAGCCTGAAGCGAGATGACGTTTTACCCCCGACTCTATACCATAATAGTTTTTAAAATTCGTTCATATTAACATTTTTGATTCCTTAGAGAATACAGGAACAATAGTCATAATTAAAGAACAAAAGCAATGTGAAAAGATTATGGTCTAGAGACAGGGGTAAAACGTCATTTTGCTTCAGGCTTGTTGTTCTGTTTCATAATAACGTCACATCAAAACAAACTATTGTTTTAACGCTAGGGATCATGGTCGTTGGAGGGGGATGGAATGAAAACAACACATCTTAAATCACAATGAAATTTGGTTTATGAGCTGGTGAAGGTAAGAACAGCTAAATATTAGGCTAAATATCTTGAAAGAAGACAAATAAGCTTAAATTTAGCCTAAATTTCTATCATTTTAGCCGATGTAAACAAACTGTGACATCATTATGAAATAGGGCAATTCAGCCAGAGGTCCCTTTGGGGAAGGCTCTACTGGATGGCAAACAAACTTTAAGCTGCTTTGTATCTTGAAATTAAAAGTATTTCATAAGAGAAAAAAGGATTTTTGAAAAAGGTTTAGGATACGACATTAGTAATCCAACAAAAGTTTTTTTGAATAAAAGAATTATAATATTTTCCATCCAGTAATAGTCATGTGATTATGCATGCAAATGGTCTGACTATATTGAAAATCATAGTTGTACATTGGTGTTTTACCTTTCTTTGTTTATTTGGTGTAGTCTTCGATGGTGTGCCAATGAATCTTCTGAAAACAAATGAATTAACTTTGTTAGTCTCATGTGAGACTTGGTAGCTCAGTGGTTAAAGCATGGCACGGGTTCAAATCCCGTTCAAGACTCAGAATTTTTCTCAGAATTTTTTCTGAGTCTTATATTCAGCAGCTGCATAAGTGGCTTGATATACTGCTCAATTAGATACCACAGTACAAATATATATTCTATAATATATTCTCATAGAAATTAACTTTGTTAGGAATAAACGTCAAATAATCTAATTAAGTATAGTTGTTGGTGAACCTAGTTTCAGTATGATATTGTCCAGCTGAACGGTTTTGATTTCCTGTGCAATATTATCAGCGCTTTACATTGTCTAAATCTGTGATTTTTAGCCTTTCAAATGAGAAATGAACACTCCAGTTCATGAGGGAAAACATACCTTTTTGTGGGTGTGACTGGTTTGCTTCCAAACAGTAATTCTTCTTTCATGATGTCTTGATGTTTCTTTTGCTAAAAAATAATTCAAGATTTACAGTCAACTCTATATTGGACACTCTCGGGACCATCACTTGTTGTCCGCAATAGCGAGAGTTAATTACAGTCATTTCTTTGTCAGTATTAATTTCACAGGGATTTCGCTCCTTTCCGTAATAGAGGGAAGGCCCTTAACCCGTGAAATAAAAAATACTAGTCAACTTGTAATAGTCAAATAGACATAAAAGAAAACAATGGAATTAGGGTCTACTAAAGTGTATTAGTCTAATATCTATTTCACAGGTTAAATAACTTCACTGTAACAAGTCTCTAATATAATATTGGGGTGTTAACGATGCGAAAGATGACAGAAATAGAGGATATTACATGGGCGCTTGGAGATACGAAATTTATCTTCAAGAGTTGAAAAGATCTCTCACGAGTGAGCGCAGCTCACTCGTGAGAGATTTTCAACACGAGAAGATAAATTGCGTATCTCCAAGCGCCCATGTAATATTCTGTTTATTATATAATTATCAATGAAGTATGTTTTGGCTTTTTCAGGCAATTCTTTCCGTGTATTTTTGAATAGCCATCGCAATGGTGTTATTTTCACATGTGAAAATAACATGTTATTTTCACGTGTGAAGATATCAATTTTTCGAAAAATAGATATTTCATTGGTAATTATATAATAAATAGAGGATATTACATGGGCGCGCGGAGATACGAATTTTATCTTTGAGTGTTGAAAAGATCTTTCACAAGTGAGCGTAGCGAATTTTCAAGAAATTTTCAACACGAGAAGATAAATTTCGTATCTCCAAGTGCCCATGTAATATTCTGTTTATTATATAATTATCAATGAAGTATGTTTTGGCTTTTTCAGGCAATTCTTTCCGTATATTTTTGAATAGCCATCGCTATGGTGTTATTTTCACACGTGAAACTATTCTCAAAATTGGTTACCATTTCACGATTACTGATGATAAAAATGGGAAGATGCTGGTGACAATTACCCTTTCTAATTTCATTTGTTCTTTCTCTAACTTCATGTTCTCCCATTGTTGTACCATAGTATCTGTGTATTGTACACCATTAACAAGAAACTGTTGTTCATTATCAGTCTCCCATTTCTCTATATCCTCTTTAAGTTCCCTCTCAAGCTGAAAATGAATAAATGAAAGAGAAAAATATTACACTTTATTGCAATCTCTGGATTACGCATTGGCCATATGTTCAGTCAATGCTCGATCAACAGTACTCTAGTGATAAGCCGAGTATAAGGGATGGACCATTAGATAGTTGATGGGGGGGTTGTGTAAATCCCAAAAAAAATATCGAGCAAGCACTTAAACCTCAAAAAAAATAAAACTTTCATGCAACCTCTTCTGCTAGAAGAAAAATATCTAACTGTACGCAAACAAATAACGTGCAAGGGTTGAGCCAAAAAATAAATATCATGCAACCAAAATTCCTGCAACTTCCCCTCCCCATCAATTATCTAATGGTTCATCCCTAAGATAGCCTTACATGTACCTGATTGTTGTTGTAACTTATTAAAATGTATACAGTTATTTCAAAAAAGGTTGAATACTGAATACTTCATACTGAATAGTGTATTCCAAGACCAAAGGGCATTGTGGGTCTCGTTAATTTGAAGTAAAAGTAAATATACAGTAATTAACTCTCTACATGTAGTTAGTATATTGTTTCAGATGGAATACACTAAAAATAGAATAAATTATTATTATTAGTCCTACTTTAGACAATGTCACTGTGCACTTCGGTCTTGGAATGCACTATTCAGTATGCAGTATTCAACCTTTTTTGAAATTTATAGATGTATACTACATGATTATTGTTATTATTGCAGTCAAAAATGTCATAGAGAACACAACATAGCAACAACGTAGTACAAGAAATGTTAGAGTTGCATAATAGGGGGTGTTGACCTAACACTGACAGCAACTTAAATAATGACAAAATTGATTAATGTACAAAAGTTATTACAAACCTTTGGTAATTCTTTCTCCAGCACTTTTCTGGCTCTACACTCCTTTAGTAAGGCACCTCCTCTGTTTGAAAACCTATTGACATCATTTTTCTTCAGCTAGAAAAAAAAGTGAAAAATAAAATCAATAAAAAATCTTCATTACTGTGCGGATACTCCAAAAGGGACCACTTTGATAAACTAGTATCATTAACCAATCATCACGACATTTAGTTCAATATTTTGAGCCGGCCAATCAGATTGCACATCAATATAATAAGAGCGTGAGAACGTGATAATCTGATTGGCTAACCATGATATCAGGTCGATTTCCGTCTAGTTTACCGTTATCTGATTGGTCTGCTTTATTCGCAATAATGCCTGCTATAACCTCAAGCTGCAAAGATAACTATATTGACATGTATCAAGTTGCATGGGTGGCATAATGTTTTACCGCATGCCTCGCACCGCTGTTGCCCAGGTTCAAGCCTCGGCAGCTCAGACTGTATATGTGAGTTGAGTTGTGGTTATCTCCCTTGCCACAAGGGTTTTCTCCAGGTTCTCCAGTTTTTGTGATCCGTAAAATCAACATGTGAGTTGAGCGTTGTATGTCGTAAAAAAAGAATGTGAGGAGGGAACCTCACGGATGAGCCCTTTACGGGAAGTGATGGTTGTAAAAAATATGTATTTATCTATTGTCAACTGTAGTCAAAGATTTGTACCTCATATTCCGCCATCTTTGCAAACATTGTTTCCCTTTTCTCTACCATCTTGAACAAGTGTTTGTTTTGTTCATAGAAACTCTTCATGACTTCCACCTGGTGTTCATGCATGTTAAGAAGCTCTTCTGTATAGTCAGCTGTGGGAGTGAATGAATGGGAAAGAGTTAGGAAACAGTTTGGTTGAATGGCATGTTGTGAATGAAGGAATGGGATGGGAAAGAGTTAGGAAACAGTTTTCCTGAATGGCATGTTGTGAATGAATGAATGAATGGGATTGGAAAGAGTAAGGAAACAGTTTTGTTGAATTGCATGTTGTGAATGAATGAATGGGATGGGAAAGAATTAGGAAACAGTTTGGTTGAATGGCATGTTGAGAATGAATAAATGAATAAATGGGAAAGAGCTAGGAAACAGTTTGGCTGAATGGCATGTTGTGAATGAATGAATGAATGAATGAATG